ATGTGTAAACTTGAAGTGACGTCTAGAACACATGAAAAGTTCAGATGCCAAAGCCTCTAAGTGCCATTTGAAATTTTCTTCTAGAATGATCATTTTTATCAAGCTTGTATATTTAAGTTCAGTAATTTCACTTAAATGACAATTCAAAGGTAATCTTCATCCCCATTTAAGTGAAATTAATTAACTTAAATATACTAGCTTGATAAAAATGATCATTCTAGAAGAAAATTTCAAATGGCACTTAGAGGCTTTGGCATCTGAACTATTCACATTCAAATACTTCAGCTGAATAGCATCATGTCGAGAAGACGCTGTTCAACATTGCAAAGACACTAGTTTCCATTGTCCAGGGACGAGCATGTGAAGAATCAGTGGTCAGAGTTCATATTTGCAACGCCCGAACCTTGTGTTCTCATCATTTTAATGACGAATCATTCAAAATTCAAAAACCTAAATGAATTCAAATGTGTTGATTCGCAAGCCGGTTGTTCCCGAAGGACGGCTCAGTATCCAGTGTATATGGATCAGGTTCGTCCTCCTCCGAATCACAATCTGTAAGTATTATTAACAATGTTTGCTGTTTTCTGTAGCATGCACAAGTCATATTGTGTTGTGTGTGTTGTGTACACTCCGCGCAGCTTCTAAGTGGGGTAAAGTTAGTTTTGTTTTTGATATTCACCAGACATTCATTGAAAAATTGCAATTACCTCCTAAACGACTTAGCCAAATACAGTATGACTTCACTCTATATAAGCACTGCCCCTCAAAAGCCCCCGCAATGTGAGTTTTGCCGGGAAAGCTTGCTCTTGACGGAGACGCGAGTAAGGGACCGTGTGGAAAGTGCACTTTTTCTGACACGTTTGTTCAAATACTATATACAATTTTCAACACTTGACAAGCTATAATCCTGGTTATGGGCATTCCGTTGCCGACAATCTCTGCCTACGGTTTACCAATAACAACTGACTGGGTCATTTGACCAATCGCCGCAGATTCGCGTAACTCAAAGGAGGTTTGGGAAAATGAATTGCGAACGAATCATTTGGGAGTCATTGAGCAAATCAGTTAAAAATAAATGCATATTATAAGACAAATAAAGTGTTTTTTTATCCTTGTATGGACGTTAAACTGTTTTTGGGAACTCCTAAAACAAAAATAGGAACATTTCAAATGCTATGATAGGGGCTCTTTAATGTCGGTGGCTATTCAATTTCGCGGTCAAAGGCATAGATGTTGCGTTTAGCCCGCACCTCTGACATCCGCTAATTTGAGGAACAAATAGGCCAGATTTTAGTGTATTATTGGGGTATTTATGTGCGGATGTCTCTTTGAAGACGGGGGAGCGGGGAAGGGGGGAGGGTAGGAGAAGCTGAGCCGGGACCAAATTGGAGATGAGCCAGGGGAACAGATCGTCTCTTGAAAGAAGAATACTTACAGAGTGCAATGATTTCCCCTGGAACAGTCCCAGGATGAAACTCTCAAAAATGCCTTTGAACAGGTCCATATCGACGGACAGCTTCTTCAACCAGATCGACCACTCTCATATCCTTATTTTGCTATTTTAAAAGAGAAGTTGTATCGAGTGATCCAAGACACTCAGTCAAAACAAGCTCATTGATGTGGCCAATTTACAAGCAGAATTTGCCAGTGTGTTCTCATCCCTGCCTGGTCGAACAGACCTTATCCAGCACCACATTGAGACTGAACCGGGCGTGGTAGTACCCAGACGGCCATATTGCTTGCCTGAACACAAAGAAAGGTAGTTCAAAGCGAATTAGAGGCGATGCTAGACATGGGAGTAATAGAGGAAGCAGTGATTGGGCGAGTCCGATAGTTTTGGTGCCTAAAACGGATGGTTCGGTTCTTGCGTGGATTATCGCAAGGTGAACACTCTACCGAAATTCAATGCATATCCAATGCCGCGGGTTGACGAATTGCTTGATCACCTAGATAATGCTCGATTTTATTTGACGCTGGATTTAACGAAAGGGTACTGGCAGATCCCCTTATCTCCTATATCCAAAGAAAAGACAGATTTGACAACGCAGTTTGGATTACACCAATTTGTCACTCTTCCTTTCGGGTTTGTCGGGGCTCCAGCCACCTTTCAGCGTCTCATGGACAAAATTCTCCTTACGCATGCTGCATATGCTGCCTCCTATCTAGATGACATTATCATCCATAGCAATTACTGGCAGCATCATATGCAGTTGCGGACGGTCCTGAGTTCGCTGAGAGGGGCTGGGCCAATGGCCAACCCGAAAAAGTGTCCGGTTGGGCGTGTGGAAGTCAGGTATCTGGGCTTTCACTTGGGTCATGGACAGGTGCGTCCCCAAATTGATAAGACGGCAGCATTTGCAACCTGTCCGAGACCAAAGACCAAAAAGGAGGTGAGGCAGTTCTTGGGGCTGGCAGGATATTATAGAAGGTTGACTGCTGGCGGTAGATCCTTTTCATATTTAGCACCAAAACTTTGGATCAGTCTTCCTACCATTGTCCGGGTAGCAGACACACTCTGTCAGTTCAAATGTAGACTAAAAACCCATCTCTTTGGCCTAGCATACACATTACACATCATAGACTTCTGTAATTCAATGTTAGGCTGCATAGATTAGGTCAACTGGGAACTGGGAACACTTCCCATAAATCCTGTTGTGCTCGTTACATCATTTGAAGAATGTACATCTACGCTAATGGCGTCTACGTTAATACTGGTCGGGTTAATACCCGATCTGATGAAGGACCACGCCTGGACACGACGACAAAGCAATCCTGAAATGTCAACTAGTCTCTCCCCTGTGAAGGCCTCCTTCCCTTTACTTCTGTACAGATAAATCGTTGTCAGTATAATTCCGGTTCACGTGGCTCTACGCAGAAGTGATAAAAAATTCTGTATTATAAATTTTTCAAGGCTTGGAACCTATTTCATGGTTTATGTTCTTGAGCCACAGTCACTGTTTTGGGCAAATGAGCGGCCGGATCGCGTTAACGGTTTTCTGTTAGAACTGTGTAGTGTTAGCGGCCCCAAAGTTAATAACTAATGAACGTTGCGACGGAAGTGAATCAATCAAAACTAACTTTAGCTGGACAATAACTTTATTATAGAGCTGCTGTAAACCCAAAACAATCTCTGTTACTTTAATTTCATATTATCACTGTGAAACTGCTTTGAAACAATCTATATTGTTAAATATATATTGTCCCAGTCACGTCGACCCAGTCTTCTTCCTTCCAACCCTGAACCTCATCACAGCCAGTCATTTAAACTTTTCAGCAAATACACAGAACTGAGATATGACTTTCTTGAACATCTGCTCCAAGAGCAAGCTGCATTCTGAAATGGGATGTGCGTTTGTAGTGTGTTTGATAAGTAATGTCTCTAGCACAGGTCATAGTCTTCAAATGAGAACAAGTTATTCCAATACAAATTATTTAGGGGAAAATAACCATACGGGGGCTTTGTTTGTGGTTCATTCTGACGTATGAAGTCCTTTGTTATAGGAAAGCATGTGATATTGCTCAAGGATCCTAAACCTAAATACAATGCTGAGTGTCTTATGCCTTATATACACTTTATTTTGCCAGCATTGCTTGTTTTAAAACACTTTTGGAATCACTGTAAGATTAGTAACGTTTTTGTGGTTTGTGAAGTGGAATAAAAATGGTCCATTATTGACTACACTTACTCAAAAATGAGGGGACCAATTGTATGTTTGAGAATAATTTGTACCATTTATTTTATTACTCAAATCATGGTTTAAGGATTGATGCTGAGCCAGCAAAGGAAATTGTTCTGATAATAAAAAATACACTATACGCAACACAATCTGAGAAGAGCATAACAGAAGAAGATGCGAACAAAGCTCCAATTTTATAAACAATCCATTCCAAGTCTATACAGAAACACTGGGACAGAATGTGATGACCCGAAAGCAAACAATAGCTTAAATTATGCATTTATCTATATTTCCTGACACGGATAGATAATTGAGAGTTTACACTACAAATGTGTGTGTGTTATTGTTTCTTCTGTAAATTCATAATGAATGAATGTAGGAAATCCAAGAAGCTTTAAAATATTATTCTTTTAATATATATATATATATATATATATATATATATATATATATATATAATGACAGTGGAGACCTGAAAAAGTATACTTTATTTATTGTATTTGAGATATATTCCCTTTTTCAATCTTTAAATATATTATTAGCATCATGCTGTTATCTATTTTCACAATACAACTTTTAACACACTTTACAATAATTGTACGTTTGTACTATTTTGAATAAGCCAGATGTATACGCTTATGGTATTGCTTGTATGTTTCGAAGAAATATAATACACTCATGTTATATTGCTTGTGTTTCGAAGACTAATGAGTTTGTAATGTTCTTGTAACATATATAAAATACATTTTAATATCACTAATCAAGTATGTAATTAGTCCTTATACAGGCATACAGTAGGCTATACTAAGTATACAATTTACACACAAAAGTACACTAAATACACTTTATTTAATTATTATGCTTACAATTGAATTACAACTAAAAGATACTTAGTACAAAATTAGTTATTCTAAAATAGCACACTTCAAGTTAACTACTCATTAATTACTTATCATATTTTTATTTTTCAGCCAGGGCGATTAATCCCTTTTTAAAAAGTAAAGTAGTTTTCTAACACAGTTGAAACCATAGTATTTTGTAGGAATTGTGATATGGTTCAATTTTGTAAGGTAGCGTAGCCTACAAGCAAATATATATATATATATATATATATATATATATATATATATATATATTTGCTTGCTTGTATCAACACACGTTCATATATATATATATATATATATATATATATATATATATATATATATATAAGTTCTAAGCAGCCTTATTGTGGTTGTTTGACGACGTTTAACAAGCAACCAATCAAAAGTCTGTGCTAAGGTCGTCTGTCACTGAAGACACGCCCACCACAATAATCCGACGTCACTGAAAACACGCCCACCACGAGAGATCAGCTGTCAAGATTATTTCACGTTGCTGGTCAGTTTTTAATGACAAACAAACCGAAAGCGACCGTTGCGCTGTATGGAAAACACACCTGTACTGGACCAACAGTAACGTTAGCTACTGTGTTCCTCTAACAAGAGTAGTTTCTCTTTAAGAGCTTGACGGTAGCTGCAGTAACGTTAATAAGAAGATTAGTACTGTGAAGAGAGAAATCTAGGCCCATATGCATTAGAGAAGCTAGCAGAACACTGACACCTGTTGCAGCACACTATGGTGAGTTACTCCATTTACTGCTCACTAACAAACTAACGTTACATTTGTGAAAGAGAAAGTGATTCACTTTGCGTTTAAATTTGATCTCTGAACTATAAAAACAACAACAAAATCGTTGTAACGTTCAAGAGCCATGCATATGTGTTATCTGGGTATTCTAACTTTCCGTTGGAAAAAGTGAATTTTGCGTGCAAAAGTTTCTTGATATTTGACAGCGTTTTATATTTTTTGGAAACTATACACAGTTTTTATTTCTTTAAAAAAACAACTTAAAAGTGCCAAATACCTTAACCATAAATGCAAATAGTTGACATTCTAAATATTTCATAACATACTTTATAATACTTTATCATCACTGTACATCAAAGAACACATCAAATTATCTATACACATTTTATTGTGGATATTGTAAAATTCAGTTGAAACTGACAATTTAATTGAATTATTGAATAACAATAACAGACAATGCCAGTAAAAGATAATCTGAAAGGTACATTTATTATATGACTCATATAACTTATAACTCATATAACGTTACTTATAACTTATAATGACTTAACAACAGTGTAAATTCAAATGAAATGATTTCACTCAATTAGGTTTTATGAATAGCAAAGATATCTGAAATGTACATCTAACTCATGGAATTATCGAGTAATAGCCCCATGAATTACAGTAAGCATTACATTTTAAAAAATACTTACAGTATTAACATAAACATGCCACTTTGGCCCTCTGTGTCAAATCAGGAGGGCCCATCTGATCTTACCACAACAGTCTAAATTTTACGTCAAAAGAAAAAGCAGTGATTTTACTCAAAAAATCAAAAGACACAAAAACAATTGTATTCAACATAATTCAGTTTCACAGATCAATTTTTTTTAACAGACACCAAATTTGATTAGATTGTGTTCATCTTGTCCTGTCAGTTTATAAACACATTTAAATTCTTGTTTGTTTACCATGATAACGGTTTGAATACTATTTCCTCAAAAGTAGACATGGCAAATGTTTCTAAATTTGCATTGCATAATAAAATATTTTACTGGTGGTTTTATGTGATTCATTAAACTAATATGTATAACCATCTATTTCGCTGTTTAAGAGTAAAGGCATCATCATTATAATTGATTGGTCGCAATATGAAAGAATTGTACGGTGGTATTATTGTTTCAGGATGACGAGAGTCCCCCGTCCCTGACTAACATTAGCTTGGCCTGGCTGTGTCACAACGTGGAAGTGCTTTGTGTTGAACAAGACAATGGATCGCTGCAGCTCCGCCACTGTCCTTTATTTCCTCAAGAGTTGGCTGATCAGCTGCTGCACAGGATGGCTCATGAGGGTAGCTAGAAATTCAATATTTTTCCAAAAATCTCAGTATTTTATTATATTATATTTGATTTTATTTATGATATAGGATATAGACATTATATAGACATTTTCAAACACCAACAAATAAAGTTTTTCCAAACACAAAAGGAACATTTAATATTCAAATGTACTTAAAGATGCAAAAAGCGATTTCTGAGAAATACTGATAAAAGGGTTAGGTCACCCAAAAATGGAAAAGTCTCTCAGGATTTTTTTTACATTTTTTACAAATTTTTACAAATTTTACATTTTAAATTTTAAAATGTAGTTTATTCCTGTGATCAAAGCTGAATTTTCAGCATCATTACTCCAGTCTTCAGTGTAACATGATCCTTCAGAAATCACTCTAATATGATGATTTGATGCTCAAAAAACATGCATTATTATCAATGTTGAAAACAGATTCAACATTGAATACAATTTTTTCATTGAATTCAACAAGTGTACAAGAATTCCAGAACTCTTTGATGTAAAGAAAGCAAAAACAGCATTTATTTGAAATAGAATCTTTTGTAACATTATAAATGTCTTTATATATTATAAACTGTAACTAAAATCCTTGATGAATAAAAGTATTGATTTCTTTTATTTCTTTCCCCCCAAAAAATAAAAGAAAATTTTGAACTGACCCCAAACTTTTGAACGGTAGTGTTTAATGTTACAAAAGCTTTCTATTGTAGATAAAATGCTGTTCCTTTGAACTTTCTAGTCATCAAATAATCCTGAAATAAAAATGTAAATAACTGTTATCAACATTGATAAAAATGAGAGATGTTTCTTGAGCATCAAATCATCATATTAAAATGATTCTGAAGGATCATGTTACACTGAAGATTGGAGTAATGATGCTGAAAATTCAGCTTTGATCACAGAAATAAAATCTACTTTACTATTTATTCACATAGAAAACAGCTGTTTTAAATTGTTATAATATTTTACAATATTACTGTTTTTTGTTGTTGTTATGCAGCCTTGGTGAGAAGAGACTTTTGAAAACATAAAAAATCTTACCGATCCAAAACTTTTGACTGGAACTAGTGTGTCAAGTCACTTTTATTTCTGTTTCAAAGCAGCTTTACAGAGATAACAGGAAAATAATTAAACCACGTTTGCACAGATGTGTTCAATTAAGTGTTAAATGTTCAAATATTTCAGTTATGAATTTTATTAAAAAAAAAAAATCAGTTATAAAATTAATATAATTAAATGATAAATTGTTCAATTATTAATATTCACATAATAGATTATTGTAATTAATAATTAATTAACAGTTTATCAAGTGAAAGAAGTTATGTTCAGTTTGTTGTATGATGTTGTGATCTGTTCTGCTCCACTCAGGGGTCCTCAATGATAGAACCGTCAGCATTTTCCAGAACCTGGAGCACTTGCGTCTGCGGCGAGCGCACATCCAGTCCTCGCACCTCTCAGCCGAGGCCTTCAGACTGGCTCTCTGCCCTCACAAGCTTCAAGAACTGAATGCTTCACATATACACAGTGACCTCACAATCTCAGATATTCTCCACAGCATTACCTCCAGCAAAGCGTGCAGACAGGGCCTTCAGACTCTGCTGATGAATGGCCTGCATCTGTATGGGGAAGCAGGCGAGGGGTCCCTGCAGGCCTCCTTCAGCATGCTCCGGGGCTTAAAGAAGCTCTCTCTGGCCTGGACGGACCTGGAGGACAGAGGTCTGGAGGACATCTGCGCAATGGCCATGCTGGAGAGCTTAGATATCTCCGGTACTAACGTCACAGATCTAAGACCTCTTTTGAACTGTGAGTCTCGGCTAAGGTCTCTAACTGTGCATGGGCTTCAGAAGTTAGAGATGCCCACCTCCAGCCTCATCTTAGTGCTCTCCAAGCTGCAGTTGCTGAGGCACCTGGACATCTCTAATGACAAGCTGGTAATGGATGGAGACAACTTGGTGCAGCAACTGCTCGAGCGCCCAGAGATCCTTCTGCATCTTGTGTCCCTGGATGTGTCGGGCTGGAGAGGTTTAAGCGATGCTACTGTCCAAGCCTTTTTGGAGGTGCGGCCTGGGATGAGGTTCATTGGGCTGCTGGCCACGGGTGCAGGTGGCTCTGAGCTGCTGTGTGGAGATGGAGATCTGAAGGTAAGATGTTTAAGAAGCTGAGGTGTCTTTGTTCACGCTGACTATGTCACATGCACACCTTTTGTTTCAATTGGACTGAATTTGTTCTGATTAAGGAATCCGAACGTTCTGTTTACATGAACAGTGAATAAAGTGATCGGGTTGATGTGCGCGTTTATATGCCACAAGCTTCAAATCAGAATAGATTTTTTGACATGCACTCACTGCACAAATATACAGAGTTTCCCGCTGTTTGTGCATAACTATTCTCCTACATTGGTTTTTCATGTTTCAAACAGCAGACTTCAATCCCAATTCACCCCTTGGCCCTACCCCTCCGTTTTGCACGTTCATGTTTAGGGGTAGGGTGTCCTGATTCTTGTTGAGATCGAGGGGTAGGGCGAAAGGTAGGGTAAACATTTAAATTTAGCGCCAGATGATTCCATCACGCACTTTTTTTACTCTTATAATAACACTATAGTCGTTTAAATTAAGAAATTGTATAATAAATTACCTTTCCGATCAGAAAAGACATACATTTCGAGGAAGGGATGTTATAATCATCATGTTTATTCAAAGTTAAGAGCAGCTGAGCTGATTGTCAGTTGTTGTCATGGAGAAATCCAGTAAAAACTCTGTAACGGGCCAGGCAGCGCCAACGCCGACGACTGATGACGTATCGGGTTCATGAAGGGTTGTCTCATTTCGTAGGGGAATATTTCAACCCTTTGGCCCTTGTAACTCTGTTTTGAGGGCCAAGGGTTACACTCGAAAACAAGGGGTAGGGCCAAGGGGTGAATTGGGATTCAGCCTTAATATGCATTTCTGGTCATAATTTGGAGACATATGAATGTTTTTCAGTACGATTGAGCCATCGATCCGATTACTAAACGATTATTGGGTTGCATGTAAACATTGACTGACTAAAAAAATGTTAAAGGGGCCATGAATTGAGAAATTTAATTTCCCTTGATCTTTTGACATATAAGAGGTAATTTTAATTTTTTTTAAAAACTTGCTTGTTAGTACAAAACAACTTTTATTGAAACTCCGCTCCGTTCCCAAGGCTCTCAGCCATGCCCTGCTTGCCACATAAACGTTCAACATAAACTTTAATCCACAAATGAATAACAAAACCAAAGTACACAACACAAAATGTAGTAAACTACTTTACTTTACTGAAAACAAGAAATCTAAACCAAAATGGACCAAGGACAAAAAAAGCTATTCTTTTGAAAGGGAGGAAACAGCCAAGCCTGCCGCAGTAATCAGTCACTCTTGCGGACAAGACAAAAGCCTGGCATGATATAATTAATTCAAGCGCACAGTGGACGTTATAATAATATGAAAACTCTGGTGTTCCATTCCATTTTATTTTTGACAATACACACTGTTTCACGTCATACTTTCAACAGGCTTATTTCGACCGCTGAAAATGCACATCGTACTTCCTTATAACTTGAATTCGTCTCAGCTGGAAACAAAAATGCAATTCAAGACCCCTTTAATCTAATATACCGTGGCATGATGCGGCAGCTGTTGATTAAAGAGCAGATGGTGAAGCACAATTGATCCTCTAGCGTAACTGTTAGTTTTAGCTGAAAAAAAAAAATCCTGACAGTTTCTGACCAGAATAAGCAGCAAAGTGGGCCAGACTTTATGATGCTACAAAAGTTTGTCTATGAAAGACTAAAAACAACATGATAGCTTGCAGAAAAATTGCATTTGACTGCCATCTCATTGAGCATGTGACAAATAATACTTCTAAAAAATAAAAAAATAGATAGATAAAAGATATTTATGAACACATCCAGGTGGCTGGAGAGTCCAATTTGACCCAACTGTGTGAAGCCTTGAGGAGATACAGCGACCGAGAGAGTTTCATGCTGGAGATTCTTAAACATCTTTACAGTCACACCAACAACTTGGAAAGACCTCAGCCAAACATAATAAAGGTACAAACAATTCTTCTTTAGAAGTTATTCTGTTGTCTCATCATCTGTATTTGTGAACAAAATATGTTTCTTACCAGTATCAGTAAATAAGTTTCATAAATATCCTTTTTAAGAATCACACCATATCACATTTTACAGCCTGAACCAACCCTGCCTTGTTATAAAAAGTTCAAATTGAGATTTTAAAGGGATAAAGCACCCAAAAAAAATGTAAATTCTGTCATCATTTACTCACCCTTGTGTCGTTCCAAACATGTAGGTCTTTTGTTCATTTTTGAAAAACAAATGGAGATATTTTTATTGAATTTCTTTTCCTCCATTGACAGTCCAAGTAAATACCATTTTTACGTTCCGAAAAGTTCATAAAGAGATCGTAAACTAATCCATATGAAGCAAGCAATTTACTCCAAATTTTCTGAAGAGACTCAATTGCTTTACTGTATATGATGTACGGATTAACATTTAGACATTTATTTACTTATGAACTTTCAGATATGGTTAATGAAAGCTCAATTATGCTTTCTTGATGTGCGAGAACCAATGAGGTTCATTCTTGTGTTACTCAGCACGTTTGAGCTTCAGCAAGAACCAATGTTTGATCTTGTGTGTCAAGAAAGTACGGTTGAACTTCTGTTCGTTGATCGGTGTATGAATAAAAAGTTCATCATGTAAAGGGATCCAGCCTCTTCAGAAGATTTTCACTAAACCACTCAATTCATTTATGGATTAGTTTTATGATGATGTCAGGAGAGTTGTATCTCCCCTTAGATTTTTTACTTGATGCCCCTGAATATTTTTTTTCAGAAGTTAATTTTCTGTATAATCATAGAATGCTATAGACCATAGGGCCGTACTGGGACACAATTTCAGGCCGGGAAATCCTATTCCCATCCAGGCCATCCTATGCACCCAAATGAAAAAAAAATTGAAACATGGACAACCCTGTTTTTTTTTATTCATTTGATGATAAAAAAAAGGGAAATTTGTATTACCTTATTAAATGGATGCATAATCTTTCATGTCAAATTCTTACATTTGATCAATAAATTCAGTTATAATGATAAGACACTATAGACCATTTCACAAGATGTAAACAACACTGGTCCAGAAGCACTTCCTGTTTCAGTTTTTTAACACTACATAAAAGCTGGGATGAAATACAACCAACAGAACATTTAAAACTGAATCAAAATGTTAAACAAACATAAGATGTTTTCTTTACATGTGAAATAAAGAAAAGAGTTACAAACTGAAACAGGAAGTGTTTCTGGACCAGTGTTGTTTACATCTTGTGAAATGGTCTATAGGGCTGTTACCCATCAAATTAATACAACTGTAATAAATAATGTTTTGAGATTGATGTTTTAAAAATGCAATACTTAAACATTAAACTAAACCGCCAATAGGTGGCGGCAAGTGAGCATCTTAATTAGTGAGTCATTCATACAAAAGATTCGTTCAAAACGCTGAATCATTCAGTAACAAAACACACCGCGCTGCCGTAGCTTTCCTGTGGAGCTATTTTAGTCGGTGAAATAGAACAAAAACAGTTAATATGTTTTGTGTCTCAAATTAAAGTAACTTACATAAATAATTATATATATATATATATATATATATATATATATATATATATATAATTTTTACCTCAGTATATTTCTTCTGTGACTTTTCTGTGTGCTTTTTCACTCATTTGTTTTGATTTCTCCATGAATGTAACGTTAGAGTTTAGACGGGCACTAGGCTATTGCTTACATTTGCTAGCAGTTCAATAATAAGTTAACGCAGAAAAAAGGACAGTATATTTACAGATGAAACTGACCTGCACTTGAAGCCCTGTACAGGTCAGTAATTTTGCAATATTTTGCTGCTTCTTCTTGGAGTGCTGTGCTTTATTTCTTTTTGTCCTTTCCCTCTCTGCTCCACCTTGCCGTTTTCTCTCGATTTAAGATTTTTATAGATTTAATTTTTTTATTTTAATTTCTAATCGAGTGTAAGGTAAGGGCAGTTTTTTTTAAGATGAGAGAAAGTATGTAATGATATCATTGCATGATAATAAAAGAAACAATCCCTTAAAACCTCCCTTTACTGTAAAGGATCTTGACTGATGTTTTAGTGTGCTAAATGGCATTTACAGCCAATGTACATGTGGCTCTTTCTGTTGCAGTTGGTATTGGCTGGAATGAAACACCACACAGATTCTCTCCATGTTCAGCTTGTGGCCACTGCATGCGTGTTTAACCTGACCGTACAGGAGATGGTACTGGGAATGTCCTTACACCTGGTGGGAACTGTAGTTCAACAGCTTCTCACAGCCATGAAGAACTTCCCAAACCACGAGCAGGTATTTCACACATTTGATATTTATCCTATCCATCGTCAAGTCAAGTCAAGTCAGGTCTAATTATATAGCGCTTTTCACAATATAGATTGCATCAAAGAAGCCTCACAGTATCAATCAAAACCTAATAATAATATTCGTTTCTTAGTGGAAAAACATCCGCTTTTGGTAGAGCTGATCAAGGGTATAACTGATTGGTTAATTAATTTGAATATCCCCAACTGAGCAAACCAAAGACAACAGTGGCAAGGAACTAAAAAACTCCATCAGGTGACCCAACGGAGAAAAAATAAAATAAAATAAAAAACCTTGGGAGAACCCAGGCTTAGTCGGGGGCCAGTTCTCCTCTGCGGGAAAACCTCAAATTAGCGTAGATGCCGTTCTTCTTATGATGTAACGAGTACTTCAGGATTTAAGGGGAGTGTTCCCAGTTCCGGCTGACCTAATCTATGCAGCCTAACATTGAATTACAGCCAGGGCAAAGAGATGCGTCTTTAATCGAGCTTTGAACTGACAGAGTGTGTCTGCTTCCTGGACAATGGTAGAAAGACTATTCCACAGTTTTGCTGCTAAATAGGAAAAGGATCTACCGCCAGCAGTCGATTTTGATATTCTAGGTATTATCAACTGGCTGGAATTTTGAGATCGCAATAGACGTGAAGGACTATAATGCGTTAAGAGTTTGCTCAAGTACTGCGGAGCTAAACCATTCAGTGCTTTGTAAGTAATCAGCAATATTTTGGAATGTATATGATGTTTAATATGCAGCCAATGCAGCGTTGTCAGAACTGGGCTAATATGGTCACATTTCCTAGTTCTGGTAAGAACTCGAGCTGCTGCGTTTTGGACCAGCTGTAGTTTGTTTATTAAGTGTGCAGGGCAACCACCCAGTAGAGCATTACAATAATCTTGCCTTGATGTCATGAACGCATGAACTAATTTTTCCGCATATGTCAATGAGAGCATATGACGTAATTTAGATATATTTTTAAGATGGAAAAATGCAGTTTTACAGATCCTAGACACATGACTTTCAAATGAAAGATTGGCATCAAAGAGCACACCCAGGTTTCTAACCGATGACGAAGACATCGTCCAACGGTTTGTATGATAAAGCAGCCATATATTGTATCCATCCATTCATGCATTGAGGGTCAATGTTTCCCACATGCCCTTTTAGGCCTGCTGAGAAAAAGTGCCATGAATCATCGGTTCTGATTTGCTTAGCTGGCTTAAACTGGTCTTAGTTGGTTCAAACGGGTCTTCCAGTTTTTCTAACTTGCTTTCACCAAAAGCTCCCTTCCCGTCTGCAAGACGGGTAGTCCTGCCCAAGCCATTGATTAAAGGAACACTCCGACTTTTTGGGACTTTAGCCTATTCACCTTACCCCCCAGAGTTAGATAAGTCCATACATACCTTTTTCATCTCCGTGCGTGCTATAAGTCTGTTTGACGCACCCACCGCTAGCCTAGCTTAGCACAAAGACTGGATGTGAATGGTTGCAGCTTTCATACTAATCCAAATGAGTGACAAAATAACGCAAACGTTTTCCTATTTACATGTTGTGATTTGTATAGTCACAGAGTGTACAAATAACAAAGTCAAATGAGACACAGACATCTTTTAACCGTATAAAACCTGGGAGTTCATTGTGCAAAAACAATTTGTGCTATTACTTTCCCCTTATTCTATCCTATAGTAATGCAATTATACTGTATATTATATACTGTTGAATACATTTGGTTCAGCGAATAAATTGCATTTAAAATATATTGATTCCTGTAATAATAATTATTTATTCATGTGATATTTATAAATCTGGGTGCGTTTTTGGTTGGAAATCAATGAAACATGGTACTGTATTACTGGTCTCCCGTTTATTGTCACAGCTCATACAATAAAGCAAACACCCATGATAAACTATGCTTTTCTATCTAACGTTAGTAATTGCTGACTCTTTATTCCAACGCTGAGCGAACTCTCTGCTCCTCGTCACGGTGCGTCTCAGGTGATTGTTATCACTCTGCCCAAGTAGAAGTGCTTCGCCTTTAGAAAATATAGTATTTATATGGTTAAAAGATGTCTGTGTCTCATATGGCCTTGATATTTGCACACTCTGTGACTATACAAACCACAACATGTAAATAGGAAAACGTTTGCGTTATTTTGTCACTCATTTGGATTAGTATGAAAGCTGCAACCATTCACATCCAGTCTTTGTGCTAAGCTAGGCTAGCGGTGGGTGCGTCAAACAGACTTATAGCACGCACGGAGATGAAAAAGGTATGTATGGACTTATCTAACTCTGGGGGGTAAGGTGAATAGGCTAAAGTCCCAAAAAGTCGGAGTGTTCCTTTAAGCCAATATTGCCGTTTTAAGCCTAGTCAAAACAGAGCGTGGTTTTAACAGCGCCACAGTTTTTACAACCTACATAATAGATTACTTTTATAGTTGCTTCTGCTCTGTGTTTTAAACTGGCATAGGCAAAAGTATAAATACACACAAAAAAAAAGATAAGTTGTTCTACAGTAGCCCTAAACGGACAAACTTCTCTACAGAACGTGTTTCGTCACTCTGTTGTTTTTCTTCTTTTTTGTTTTTTCTTCTTCTTTGTTGGTGTTTTTAATGGCAACTTGCACCATCACTACGTTGAATTAGCATTAGTAGTAGTAGCATTAACATTAACATTAGTAGTAAATTTTGAACAAATGGAGGACCACACATTATTATAGAGCGTCAATCTTCATTGGCAAAGAAAAGAAAACCTTGTTGCTTGGCTGGCTACTCTCTTGTGTCTCCGACGGCGACATGTTTGTCCTGTTTTGGCCACCGTAGCTTCTTTAAAAGGGGGGGGGGGGGGGGTGAGTTGTGGGCTGAGCCGTTGGTTGCAATTTGCACCCGAACCGCTAGAGGTCGCTAAAATCTACACACTGCACCTTTAAGCAAGTACAACATTTACTACCATGATGTATAAATACATTTTATACATTTTAATTCATGTATATGTAATACATTTTTGGCATCAGTGAAATATTTTTTTTGTGTCTTTATTTATATTCTGCCATTAAATATGACCTAAAATTATTCTTGGCAATTTTTGTAAGATTCATCCTTTATTGACTATACATGTCTAATTTTTTTCTGCTTTTAGTTGCAGAAGAATTGCCTGCTTACCCTTTGCAGTGACCATATCTTACAGGTTGTCCCATTTGACAGGTCAGTCCATACACATTTCCTCAGTGCACTTCAGCTTGTTGTCGATGTGGCTTAACTTAGTCTTGACCCTCTGTTCCCGGATAGATACGAAGCTGCTAAGTTGATAATGATGTTGCTGGGGAATCACGGAGATCAGACGGTGCAGAGAATGGCGGTGGCTGTAGTCTCCGTACTGGTGTCTAAGGTAATTACATCACCACCAGCGTTCTGTTAAATATCTACCACCAGGAGAAGCTTTGATGCTGTACTGAGCTGTTAAGTTCAGAGATGTTTAGTATTATTAAAGTCGGCATGAAATGAAAGTTGTGCTAGCTATTTTTTCTGACTGAAACGATTTGTCAAACAAGAAAAAAAACTAGGACGGTACTTGATTTTGTCTCTGGGGAGTTGGTTGGATGATTGTGGTTTGCTATTGGCGGTAGAGGTCGAGCGATTAATCGGATTTGCCGATTAATCGGCACCGATAGTTGATTGGTGGAACTATCGTTATCGGCAAAAATCCGCACCGATAGTTATTTCCTGGTTTCGTCCGTTGCTGGGGCGAATGAGAAGTGCGCGCTGTCATTTATTACACAGTACGAGAGAGCTGAGAAGGGTCTGCTGGCTCTCACGCAGTACAAGAGCGGCCTCTAGAGGTGTCATCAACTGATGCCTCGTGTTGTTTATTTCGATGAATCCGTGACAAGAATAGCGCGATTAAACGTCTGTGGGAACATGAGAGACGGAGTGAGACGGAGACAAATATCAAAACCTGATGTGCGTCTGAGCAATAAGCTATCTATCGACACGTTACCTAGCAGCGAATACAAACAAAATGAAAGTGGAACTAAAATACGCAACTCATATAGGCTATGCTTCACGGACTGTTGCCGTTTTTACTAGGTTGGACCAATAATAGACAGAGCAGCGCATAGTGGAGCCCCCCGAACCACCGACAGTAATAAAGCCCCGAACTTGCCAGTCGCTGGTTAACACATTAATTAACATTAACTAAGGTTAATAACTGCTGTTCAGTGTTTCTTAATTAACATACTACATTTTTAAATTAAGGTTTTTATTTGTTAACCATAGTTAAAACTCTATGAACTAACATGAATGATCAAGGTGAAATTGTATTGCTCAAATATTAATGCTGTAAACATTTATATTGCATAATGCACATTTTTCATGTAAACTAGCTAATAAATCATTGTTAACAAATTGGACTTGCAACATGGTATAGCTAAAGAAACACACATTTGACATATTTTAATGTTTAAATTATTTTCAGATGGCAAATTTTGTTATTATTTTAAACATCTTTTTTATTCATTAGGTTGGCTTGAAAAAGAACAGTTAAACAGTTACATTTGGAATGTTTATATTGTTATTTAGAGTATTATTTTTTGTTTGTTTGAAAGAATGCCTTTTATTGACATGTTTTCATGGTTCATACAGTTTTTTGTATTTTTATAATAGAGTTCAGCACTGTTTTACTTGGAGTGTTATGTTTGTTTTTATCTAGTATCAATTTTAAAAACTATCGGTTGATTAATCGGTTATCGGCAAGTACTGCCCAACCCAGCTATCGTTATCGGTAAAATCCAATATCGGTCGACCTCTAATTGGCGGATGTCATGTAAGTGACTTGTTGTCCTGCACTTGCACCAGTAAACGCATCATCAGAGAAGCGATGTCGTTGCAAGGGGGAGGGGAAGTAATTTTAAAGTTATGAATGTTATTTTAAAGACTTTAAAGAAGATATAGCATTGTTTTGCTGTATTTTTTAATGATAGTAGATCAAAAGTAAAAGAAAAAAATAAAGGCAGTAAGAAGTAGTGAGTGGCGTATAGAGTGCTTAGTCAGGTTCTGGAAGTAAAAACTCCAGGGTAAATTTGATTTGTAACAATGACTTTTAAACCCTTAAAGGGTCATGAAACCCCCCCTCTTTTAGCTCAAGTCTAGCTCCCAATCTTTTTGAAAAATGCAACTTAAATGAGCGTGGATGGCTGTGAGAAGAAAGGAGGGAAGTGGTTGTGGCACGGCAGGGGAGAGGGGGCGGGAGGGCGGAGCGGGATGACTGTCATCGGCCAGTGGCCCATGCATATCACTCTCACTAAAAATCAGTGGTAAAACGTGTGGAAATTCTAGGTTTTTTATAGCTGGCAAAGTTAAAGTCTAATGAAATACACTGACATCTTGTTTTTGTCCTTTCAAAAGTGAAAACTGAATGCCCTGCCTATATTAGCCTACAGTAATCGTAATTTATAGATAATTTAAAACATATCAATGTATGTACAATTATAATTATTAAATTATATTTTACTATAAAATATAGATTTATATAGTCATTATAAAATATATATTTGTTTATATACACACTAATGCATATATCTGAAAAGAATTCATTTTAAATGATTATAATGATTATACACAGCCTGTGACGTTGACACGATGAAGATTTTAAACCCGGAAGACAAAAATAGCAGAGAAAAAATTAAATGCAACTATTCCCCCCCTGTTTCATGACCCTTTAAAGACAGACCTGTTATGAGCTCCAAGGTATGGAATGCTAGTTGATGCTATCTGTTGCATTATTTTATATAGTTTATATAGTGAGGTACACATTCCCTATTAACAAGATGTTTATTAGCATGCATATTACTAGCATATTATTGACTGTTTATTATACTATCAATAAGCAGTCATTCTGACTTTATTGAGGGAAAACTCTTAATTAATGGTCTATTAGTTATAGAATATGGTCATGCTGAATAAGGCTTGACTTTTTTATGACTTTTAAAATCCCTATGGGAAAAAAATACTTTTGGAACCATCACCGCTGAAAAAAAAAACTGTTATAGATTTCGAGTTCTGCTTATATGAACAAAAATCATTATCAAATAATTTTCATCTCTGGGACATTATTAATGTGTAAAAGTTTTTGAGGCTGGAGAATTTAACTCTTTCACACTTCATTGCAGTTGAGTACAGAGGAGATCTCAGAACTGGGTGCAGAGGCATTTATAATGAAGGTAAATGTTTTCCTTCACAGGTGCCTTTATTTGCTGTTGCTGTTTTAAAGACCCCAATTAAATCAAACGTTTTGTGGCTTTTGGTCCATTGCTATTAGCTTTGAAGCCGTCTAATTGCTAGTGTACGCTAGGCAAGATAGCTTGTAAAAAAATAAAAATTTTAAATTTTACAGCTTTACAGCTTAAAATTTTTAAGGTTAAATGGAACAAAAATAACGACAACTCATCTTGTACACAGTGTTGAATAAAATATACAATAAGAATAATCCTCCACCTAAAACCACCTGTCTATTTATAGCTGTCACAAACTCCCACCTGCCCAGTCACCTTAGCACACTACATTTCCCAGCATCCCGCCTGTTCACTTGCACCTCCTCAGCACACTCATCACCAGAGGCACACACTCATGATCTGGTCTATGACTTGGACTAAGGATTACTTGCCTGTATTCCCTACCTGTAAATATCACCTCCTACAAATCCTGTCTCATTGCTCCTGCATCTGTTCCTCTTCTCCAGTGTTTGCTCAAGATCTTTAAGACAAAGACTTTGATTACTATTCAGCCTGCTAAACAGCAACTTAAGGTGTGTGTGTGTGTGTGTGTGGATTCACTCACCTGTGGAAGTCACAGTCTCTATCTTCACTTGCAAAAGCTTAGAACTTAAGTTTAATACCCACCTTTACCATCGCTGTGTTGTACCTACTCACCTGTGTTTGGAATTTGCTCTAATAAGGCAGTGTATTTTCACTGATCCATCTCTCTCAAGTCTGCTGTCTCCTGACCAGACCAACACCGATTGCAGTATGAGCATTCTACTCCGTCCAAATTGACATTCTGAAATGTCATTCCGCCCTATTGCGGAGTATGCAGTGGAATTCTTGGAGCTGTCTTCCACCGTGCACTTGGATGATGAGTTGTTAATGGCTATCTTTTATGGGGGCTATAGAATGCCTTGGGATGCTAAAAACTGCACCTGGCAACAATATATCCTTTATGCACTCTGCTTAGCTGATCCACCTCCAGAACACCACCTTTACTCCCAGAGCCCTCTCCAGCCCACGAGTCCGCCCCAGAGCCCTCTCCAGCCCACGAGTCTGCCATCTCCAGCCCACGAGTCTGCCCCAGAGCCCTTTCCAGCCCACGAGTTCCCCCCAGAGCCCTCTCCAGCCCACGTGTCCGCCCCAGAGCCCTCTCCAGCCCACGTGTCCGCCCCAGAGCCCTTTCCAGCCCACGAGTTCCCCCCAGAGCCCTCTCCTGCCCACGTGTCCTACCCCAGAGCCCTCTCCAGACCACTAGTCTGCCCCAGAGCCCTCTTCAGCCCACGAGTCCGCCCCAGAGCCCCTCTCCAGCCCACGAGTCCGCCCCAGAGCCCCTCACCAGCCCATGAGTCCGCCCCAGAGACCTCTCCAGCCCACAAGTCCGCCCCAGAGCCCTCTCCAGCCCACATGTCCACCCCAGAGGCCTCTCCAGCCCACATGTCCACCCCAGAGGGCTCTCCAGCCCTCGAGTCCACCCCGGAGGCCTCTCCAGCCCTCGAGTCTGCCCCAGAGCCCTCTCCAGCCCTCAAGTCTGCCCCAGAGGCCTCTCCAGCCCTCGCGTCTGCCCCAGAGGCCTCTCCAGCCCTCGAGTCCGCCCCAGAGCCCTCTCCAGCCCTCGAGTCTGCCCCAGAGGCCTCTCCAGCCCTCGAGTCTGCCCCAGAGGCCTCTCCAGCCCTCGCGTCTGCCCCAGAGGCCTCTCCAGCCCTCGAGTCCACCCCAGAGCCCTCTCCATCCCTCGAGTCCACCCTAGGGCCCTCTCCAGCCCACGAGTGTGTGTGTTTGTGTGTAACTGATGGCCATATCAAATTCCTGTGGAGCTGCTGATGCATTTGGCGAATAAAGTGATTCTTGATTCTTGAGTCTGCCCCAGAGCCCCTCTCCAGCCCACGAGTCCCCCGCAGAGCCCCTCTCCAGCCCATGCGTCCACCCCAGAGCCCTTTCCAGCCCACGAGCGCCCCAGAGCCCTCTCCAGCCCATGAGTCCGCCATCTCCAGCCCACGAGTCCGCCCCAGAGCCTTCTCTAGCCCACGAGTCTGCCCAGAGCCCTCTCCTGCCCACGTGTCCTACCCCAGAGCCCTCTCCAGACCACGAGTCCGCCCCAGAGCCTTCTCCAGCCCACGAGTCCGCCCAGAGCCCTCTCCTGCCCACGAGTCTGCCCCTGAGCCCTCTTCAGCCCACGGGTCCGCCCCAGAGCCCCTCTCCAGTTCACGAGTCCGCCCCAGAGCCCATCTCCAGCCCACGTGTCCACCCCAGAGGCCTCTCCAACCCTCGAGTCCGCCCCAGAAGCCTCTCCAGCCCTCGAGTCCGCACCAGAGCCCTCTCCAGCCCACGTGTCCGCCCCAGAGCCCATCTCCAGCCCACGTGTCCACCCCAGAGGCCTCTCCAGCCCTCGAGTCCGCCCCAGAGCCCTCTCCAGCCCACGTGTCCGCCCCAGAGCCCCTCTCCATCCTTCGTGTCCGCCCCAGAGCCCTCTCCATCCCATGAGTCCGCCATCTCCAGCCCACGAGTTCGTCCCAGAGCCTTCTCCAGCCCACGAGTCTGCCCAGAGCCCTTTCCTGCCCACGTGTCCACCCCAGAGCCCTCTTCAGACCACGAGTCCGCCCCAGAGCCTTCTCCAGCCCACGAGTCTGCCCAGAGCCCTCTCCTGCCCACGTGTCCTACCCCAGAGCCTTCTCCAGCCCACGAGTCCGTCCCAGATCCTTCTCCAGCCCACGAGTCTGCCCAGAGCCCTCTCCTGCCCACTTGTCCTACCCCAGAGCCTTCTCCAGCCCACGAGTCCGTCCCAGATCCTTCTCCAGCCCACGAGTCTGCCCAGAGCCCTCTCCTGCCCACGTGTCCTACCCCAGAGCCCTCTTCAGACCACGAGTCCGCCCCAGAGCCTTATCCAGCCCACCAGTCCGCCCAGAGCCCTCTCCTGCCCACTTGTCCTACCCCAGAGCCTTCTCCAGCCCACGAGTCCGTCCCAGATCCTTCTCCAGCCCACGAGTCTGCCCAGAGCCCTCTCCTGCCCACGTGTCCTACCCCAGAGCCCTCTTCAGACCACGAGTCCGCCCCAGAGCCTTATCCAGCCCACCAGTCCGCCCAGAGCCCTCTCCTGCCCACGTGTCCTACCCCAGAGCCCTCTCCAGACCACGAGTCTGCCCCAGAGCCCTCTTCAGCCCACGGGTCCGCCCCAGAACCCCTCTCCAGTCCACGAGTCCGCCCCAGAGCCCATCTCCAGCCCACGTGTCCACCCCAGAGGGCTCTTCAACCCTCGAGTCCGCCCCAGAGGCCTCTCCAGCCCTCGAGTCCGCCCCAGAAGCCTCTCCAGCACTCGAGTCCGCGCCAGAGCCCTCTCCAGCCCACGTGTCCGCCCCAGAGCCCATCTCCAGCCCACGTGTCCACCCCAGAGGCCTCTCCAGCCCTCGAGTCCGCGCCAGAGCCCTCTCCAGCCCACGTGTCCACCCCAGAGCCCCTCTCCAGCCCTTGTGTCTGCCCCAGAGGTCTCTCCAGCCCTCGAGTCCGCGCCAGAGCCCTCTCCAGCCCACGTGTCCGCCCCAGAGCCCCTCTCCAGCCCTCGTGTCCGCCCCAGAGGTCTCTCCAGGCCTCGAGTCCGCCCCAGAGGCCTCTCCAGCCCTCGAGTCCGCCCCCTCCGCTCTGGCCCGAGTGTGCCTCAGAGTTTGTGCTTGTCTAGGAGTCTTCTCTCAAGTCCGTTCCGGCCCATGAATCTCCAGAATTCGTCCAGCACCAGTATTGCTTGCATCCTCCAATTTGAACACCACTTTGAGCCCTGCAAAGAAGAGGAGCCAAATGAGGAGGATAAGGATCCTGCTGGAATTTTTTATCCTGAGGTTTCTGCACACTCAAATGCTCTGTTCTGCCAAATCAAATGGTCTCAGCGCTAGCCAGTCCAGTGGTTTCCGTGCTGTAAAGTCAAATGGTTACAGCGCTGTCCAGTTCAGTGGTTTCCGAGCTACTTAACCCAATAGTCTCAACACATCAGAATCAGTTAGGCCCAGATTTAATGCCACACTTATGTTCTTTGTCTGTGATGGCAACTGTCTGCTAGTGTGTTGGACTGTCACACCACCATCCCAATCACCTTAGACACCCAATCACACTACATTTCCCAGCATCCCTCCTCTTCCTCATCTGCCCTTACTCAGCCATCACCTGCACCTGCACTGATTACTTACCTGTATTCCTTATCTGCAAATATTACCTGTATTCCCTACATGCGAATATTACTGATTCCTAAGTTACTGTCTCCTTGCTCCTGTTCAGCTTCTCCAGCATTCCCTTCAGCATTTCCTCAAGATCTGTAAAACAAAAAAAACTTTGATTAATATTAAGTCTGCTTAACAGCAACTTAAGGTGTGTATGTGTGCATTTACTCACCTGTTGAAGTCACAATCTCTATCTTCACTTGCAAAACCTGAGAACTGAAGTTTAATAGTTCATCATCGCTGAGTTGTCATTACTCCCGTGTTTGGAATTTGCTCAAATAAAGCACTGTTTTTTCACTGATCCACAGATCCATCTTTCTCGAGTTTGCTGTATCCCGACAATAGCAAAACATGTCAGACTATGATGCAAGCTAAAGGATGTTAGTTATTAAAAAAGACAGGCCTTTAACATGCCCCACCCCCTCTGTTTCAATAGTAAATACGTCAGCAAAGGAAAGACAAATTCTTACGAACATTTAATGGGGTCTTTTACACTAACCATACTGTTCACTTAAAGTTGTATATGTAAATGGCTTAATTCTTAAAGGGATACTCCACTTTTTTTGGAAATATGCTCATTTTACAACTCCCCCAGAGTTAAACTGTTGAGTTTTACCCTTTTTGAATCCATTCAGTCGATCTCCGGTTCTGGCATTAGCACTTTTAGCATAGCTTAGCATACATCATTGAAGTGCACTAGACCATTAGCATTTCTCCCAAAAAAATTACCAAAATGTTTCGATATTTTTCCTATTTAAAACTGAACTCTTCTGTAGTTACATCGTGCACTAAGACAGACGGAAAATATAAAATTGCGATTTTCTAGGCTGATATGACTAACAATACTCTCATTCCTGCGTAATAATCAGGAAACTTCACTGCCGTACCATGAGTGCAGCAGGCGCAATGAATACACAAACTTAGTCCCGGTCACGTTAGAAGCTGGGGACTATTTTCATGTGCTGAGTGCGTCATAACATTGCGCCTGCTGCACTCATGGTACGGCAGTGAAGTTTCCTGATTATTACGCAGGAATGAGAGTATAGTTCCTAGTCATATCAGCCTAGAAAATCGCAACTTTACATTTTCCGTCGGTTTTAATGCACGATGTAACAACAGAAGAGTTAAGTTTTAAATAGGAAAAATATCAAAACACTTTGGTAATTTTTTTCTGAGAAATGCTAATGGTCTGGTGCACTTCAATGATGTATGCTAAGCTATGCTAAAAGTGCTACTGCCAGAACCGGAGATCGGCTGAATGGATTCAAAAAAAGGTCAAACTCAACAGTTTAACTCTGGGGGAGTTGTAAAATGAGCCTATTTCCAAAAAAAGTGGAGTATCCCTTTAAGCTTCTATTGCAAATGCCTGAATGGACAGATGACTACATGAATACACCAAATCAATAGATTTATTCCCCTTTCTGTGGAACTTCAGCAGTTGCTGAGCATCGTTCAACAGAAGGCCTCACTGGGTGTAGTGGATTCAACTCTGAAGTTTGCATTAAGTGCTTTGTGGAATTTGACAGATGAGACACCCACTGCTTGTCTACATTTCATTCAGTGCCAAGGACTGGAACTCTACATGGAATTGCTAGAGGTACACAGACACGCACTCATGCACAAACTAACATGCACAGTGGGACACATTTGAAGTCAAGTCACCTTTATTGATAGCGCTTTATACGATACAGATTGTTTCAAAGAAGCTTTTACAGTGATAAACAGGAAAAGTAGCTCTAAATAGACTCAATTAAACAACAGTCATTATTCTGTTGAAATTAGTTTAGTGTTGATTCAGTTTGGTTCAATCACTGTTTAGTTAATTAATTAATCCATAAAGTAGCTCTGGAGAAAACAGTGATGGCATAATCCAGCTCTCATCCAATAGTGTCAATGCATTCAAGTCAACAATATTGTCAAATATTAGGTATCCACAACTAAGCAAGCCAGAGGCGACAGGGGCAAGGAACCCAAACTCCATCGTTGAGAGAAAAAACCTTAGGTGAAACCAGGCTCAGTCTAGGGCCAGTTCTCCTCTGCCAATTGAACGAAGATGGTGTGGTTTCATTATAGGCTGCATCACAAGTCAGAATATAGAGTGATATCATAACAAGTTTACAACAATGACATAGATTCTTGAACTTAGTAATACTTATCCCAAAAATAAATCTGTGACCATTATATCACCCTCTTGCTGATCCAATTCAAACCAGTATGACTTTCTTTCTTCTGTGAGACACAAAAGAACATGCTTTAAATCATGTTGATCACCAAACCATTTTTGTTACCATTTGACTTCCATTCTATCAACAAAAAATCACTGAGACATTTCTCAAAATATCTTATTGTGTTTCACAAATGACAGAAATTCAAACAGTTTTGGATGGACATAAGTTTGAGTTAATGATGAGTAAAATAAGTTTAATTTTTGGGAGAAAAATGGCTGTTAATTTTCTGTATCTTCTCATCACTCTCTTCTCTCCTCCACAGTCATATTATTCCGAATTCTCCATCCAGCAGAAGCTCCTGGGCCTTTTGGTAAATATATTGTATATGTCATGTAAAAATTGGTGGATTAATTACAAAGCAAACAACTTACCCACTCTGACATGATCACTTTGGGTCACACAAAAATCTAAATGAACTCAAAATGAGTTTACAGAGGAATTGTAGACTAATGGTCTAGAAAATGAGAATATTAGGAATAATTGCTGAACAACTGTTAATTGTAACAAATAAACTACTATAAACTATTCACAATATATTTTTTACTGTTTTATGCATGTAGTTGATATTCTAGAAGTAATTTTAAAAAACTTTCAGAAATGCATAAATGTGAATAGGCTTTAATGTGATTTGGTTTAAATGTATGTATAGTATGTTAATATTATAGCAGTGGCTGCTTGTTGATAGTGTAAGTAAATGGTATTCGATGCTTTCCTCTGTGTCTCTTAGTGGGAGATATTGATTCAAACTCCTGTGAAGGATTTTTTTATCCATTCTCGAAATTTCTGGCAGGTTTACACTTTATATTAAGGTGCTATACATTATCATTAGGTAACAATGAAAAATAAAAAGTTATTGATCATTTTTACATTTACAAATGCATTTTAAAATGAATAGGTGTTCAGATAACACTAGGTAATGTATTATGATTTAAACATGACTTAAAGGGATAGTTAACCCAAAGAATGTAATTTGTTCCAAACCTGTATGAATTTCCTCCTTCTGCTGAAGACAAAAGAAGATATTTTGAAAAATGTCGGTAACCAAACAGTTGATGGGCCCCATTTACTTCCATAATATTTTTTTCTATACAATGAAAGTGTCATATCCACCAGCTGAAGTGCCCTTAATCTCCTAATTGACACCTAATGCATGAACTAATGGTGATGAAATTTACTTTATAAGGTGTTAGCAAGGAAAGTTTGGACTCCTTGAAATTTTTAGAAATGAAATTTCTTCACGCAGTTTGTTAAAGGAGTAGTTCACTTTAAAAAAAAAAAACTTTTGCTGATAATTTACTCACCCCCATGTCGTCCAAGATATCCATGTCATTCTTTCCTCAGTCGAAAAGAAATTAAGGTTTTTGATGAAAACATTCCAGCATTTTTTTCCATATAGTGGACTTCAATGGGAACCAAACGGTTCAAGGTCCAAAAGACAATTTCAGTGCAAACTGTTCAAAGGGCTTTAAATGATTCCAGACGATGAATAAGGGTCTTATCAAGCGAAAAAAAATAACAAAGTTTAAGCTTTATAAGCTCAAATGCTCGCCTTGCTCTGTTCTTTGATGTGCATTCGTGACTCTCCTGTTTGAACTCGTTCATCAAAATGAACAAATCTTTTTGAGTCAATTCGTTCATTTCGGTTGTTGAATGAACCAAATGACATGAAAAAAGATTTTTCTCATTTTGATAAAAGAGTTCGAACAGGAGAGTCACGAACATGCATCACAGAACAGAGCAAGGCGACCATTTGAGCTTATAAAACTTAAACTTTGTTATTTTTTTTTTAAATGAGCGATCGTTTCGCTTGATAAGACCCTTATTCATCGCCAGGTGTCGTTTAAAGCCCTTTGAACAGTTTGCACTGAAACTGTCTTTTGGACCTTGAACCGTTTGGTTCCCAGTGAAGTCCATTCTATGGAGAAAAATCCTGGATTGTTTTCATAAAAAACCTTAATTTCTTTTCACCCGAAGAAAGAATGACATGGGTATCTTGGATGACATGGGGGTGAGTAAATTATCAGCAAAAGTTTTTTCAAAAGTGAACTACTCCTTTAAAGGGGTCATGAACTGGCTTTTAAAATTTTATTATATTGTTGTCTGAGGTCAACTTATGACGTTCGCTTGGTTTTTGCATTCAAAAACATCAAAATGATTAAGTAATAGGCTATTTTGTACCCAAGTTGTGAGCCTTCCTGAAAAACAGTCGGTTTTTATGGGCGTGTCGCACTGAAGACTTGGAAATAAACGCCCACTGCTGTGAGTGGAGAACAGTTTTGCATATTATAATGAGTTTAACTCACCCGTCGGTGTATGTGGGGGAAAACGTCCAATGTTGTCAAATGGCAACCGGATTCACCCATACATGTTCAACCAAGAGTCCGTTTGTAGCACAATTCCTGTCAGATCCAATATAGACGGCACAGCACTGTTCTTTACTCTTAATCGTCTGCAAATCCAGTCTTGTTTACAAAAAAAATCCTCAGTGAAATGAAGCGAACAGACGGACGATGTTTTACCCTCATCAGCTGGAACGTCATTAAAAATAAAGTTTATCCATGAAGTCCTATTGGAATCCAGAGGAAACTTATGCAGCGACTGTCTTCTTCCACAACCAGGTACTGCACAATATTCTGTATTGCTCGGTTGAATTATCCGGTTTGTAATCACGCGGTAGGGCCGGTAGGCATGTATGTTAAGGCCAATTTATACTTCTGCGTCGAGGGTACGCCGTAGTATACGGCGTTGGCTTCGCACGTAGGCGACGCCGTTGTGAGCATTTATACTTCTGCGTTCAAGTATTGGTTGCTCTGCAGTACTGCTCCGAAACGCTAGGAGGCGGCGGAGGGTTTTAATGTTCCACTGTGTTTATATTCCTCGCGGCTAGGTTACTACAAGCAATAGCGACTGAAAGAGAGTGGATAATGTTGGAGTTGGAGCTTATTGGGGTGGAAAAACAGTTCATTTTAGTGAAATTACTAAAACTGAAAGGCAGAAATGAGAGAAGACGTCGGAGAAGACAGTACGTGTGTAAATGCGTGAGAAGGTACGTGCGGAAATGCGTATGAGGAAATACGATGCTACCAAGCCGACCAATCACCGATCTTGCGGTCCGCGTCGTCGCGACGTGTAGTTACATTTTTGAAGAGGTGCGCGTCAGGCAACGCGGAAAGGCCAATTTATACTTCTGCGTCGAGGGTACGCCGTAGTGTACGGCGTTGGCTTCGCACGTAGGCGACGCCGTTGTGAGCATTTATACTTCTGCGTTCAGGTATTGGTTGCTCTGCAGTACTGCTCCGAAACGCTAGGAGGCGGCGGAGGGTTTTAATGTTCCACTGTGTTTAGATTCCTCGCGGCTAGGTTACTACAAGCAATAGCGACTGAAAGAGAGTGGATCATGTTGGAGTTGGAGCTTATTGGGGTGAAAAAACAGTTCATTTTAGTGAAATTACTAAAACTGAAAGGCAGAAATGAGAGAAGACGTCGGAGGAGATGGTACGTGTGGAAATGCGTGAGAAGGTACGTGCGGAAATGCGTAGGAGGAAATACGACGCTACCAAGCCGACCAATCACCGATCTTGCGGTCCGCGTCGTCGCGACGTGTAGTTACATTTTTGAAGAGGTGCGCGTCAGGCAACGCGGAAGGGTACGCGGTATGGGACGCGTCTGTGCGTATGCTACGCCGTACCTACTGCGCGCACCCTACGCAGAAGTATAAATTGGCCTGAAGGGTACGCGGTATGGGACGCGTCTGTGCGTATGGTACGCCGTACCTACTGCGCGCACCCTACGCAGAAGTATAAATTGGCCTTTAGGCTACTTAGCTATGCGTGTAATTCGCGAATCGGTGGGCGGGGCTAAACCGGCCGTGTTGAAGTAGGTGTTGATCTTCTTCTGCGGGGGTGGTGTTTTAACCCCTTCGACGTCAGAGTTTCCCACTTTTAAAAACGAGGCGTTTTCAGAGGCTGGTGTCAATAAAAGCTTTTATTGGACTAACAAGGACGTTTTCAGTTCTGAAACTTACAGGATATTCTTATAATATGATGACCTCTTAGATGTCAAAAGCTCAAGGAAAATTAGATTTCTCAGTTCATCACCCCTTTAACCTGTAAGGACAATCAGATCATGTCCTTATTCAATATTCTGTTCTAGAAGCGTATCTACTTCAAATGTTCAACAACACTGATATCAGCGAATCTCCTCTGTGCTCCAGAATAATGTAGCAGAGGTGGAGGAGCTGCGGACGGAGCTGATGGATGAGGACCTGGTGGAGCACATTCTCTCACTCTTAATCAACCCAGAGGTGGAGGTGGATGTCCGTTATTTTGCTGGAGGGATCCTGGCACATCTCACCTCAGTCAGGGGGCCTGAGTGGCGTCTGGATGCTGAGCTGCACTGCACAGTGCAGGAGAAACTGGTGTGTGTTCTTGTGCATATGGTTTATGAGGATGAAAATGTGTATAATGACACTTCCTGTGTCCTCGTGAATCAACTGGCTTAAAAAAAACATACTTTATAGAAATAAGAAAATGCAGAAAGGTTTAGGGTTAGGGGGTAGAATATACAGTTTGTACAGCATAAAAACTATTACGCATATGGAGAGTCCCCATAAACAGAGTGTGTGTGCACGCACATTAGTTCAAATGTAGTGTTTTTTATGTGCTAAACTCTGTTCCTGAAATCTCTCACTTTTAGCACTCTTCTATCCTGTCATGGAGTTCTCCTGAGCATGCAATGGTTTCCTACCGGTAAGTGTTCTAGTATTTACTTTTTTATTGATTATTCTGTATTTATGTAATATTATACTGTACAATAATTAGTAAAAAGACTGGACACACCTAATCATTCCATATTATTATTATTATTATTATTATTAAGTACCAGATTTAGAAAAATAGTGCAACTATTACTGTATATAATAATTATATATAATATTACACAAATGGAAATATGGGAATTATGACGTGAGCAAAGTTTGAGTTCATCTTTTATTTTATTTTTTTTTATTTTAGTTTTGTATTTTTGGAAAGACATTCATTTGTAGACACAATATTTATATGTGCCTACATGACTGATTTTAAGCATTTAGACAGAGGCCCTTTAATAGAAAGTATCATGAGAAGCATAAATTCAGTCCGTGGTTCAAGACATTTTTGGTGAACAATCTGGTTGATTTTCAGTAAAACTATTAAAACACTTGAAAAATAACCATAGGTACATTTTTGAGCTTACTTTCAAATTTTTTAAAGCACTCAAAAGTGTAAGTCATGATATACAGCCATTGCAAGCCACTGCCATCATCTACTCACGCCCCCTACTGGACTGGAGTGTGTAGCGCTAAATGGTGCACAGGAGAACAATGGCTGGACAATGTACAATGGGCTTTATGCACAGCTGCACTACTTCCTGAACTTAAGCCAGCTCCTTAGGCGTTTCTCAATATGCGTTCTTGTACTGATCCAATTCAAAGTTCACATCTAGCCAAGTCCACTTCAAATCCCCGGATGTGTTCTTGATCCGCCCTGTTTACCGAGGATGCATCGAGAGGTGACTTGTGTGGACTTGAGATAGCCAGGTATCCCAGAATGCACCTCGCACCAACCAGCAAGCGTCAATGGGAGTGGAGAAAATCCACGAAATATCAAAATAATACTGTTATTGTGTCATGAAATGTAATTTTAAGAGTGTTTCAGGCGAGAATGTAGTTGTTTAAATCTCAAATCTGTAGTTTATTTATAAAGATACTGCTTATTTGGAAAATGCATCTGACGTTTGCGGAGTTCTGACCTCCAAGCCTTCAGCGGACACTCAGCGAGATCAACCCCGACTGGAACAGCTTATCCTCGGCTAGTGCTTCTGACGTTTGGCCACTGGCTCTGATATCTCTAGTCAAGTGGATAAACTTGACGTATAATTCGTCTTGTGTATAAGTCTATCTTTGGTCTCATTAAACTTTGTTCCATGGCAAAAAAATCGTTTTTTAGAAGTTTCATAACTTTATATATTTAGGTTATTTAACATTAACAGCATTTTTACATTATCTTCACTATATGAACAATAAAATAAAATGACACAACACTGTCTCTGTTGGATAAATGTCAATAAAAATCAATGTTTCATATTTTTAAAATGAAAACAAAAAGATCATGTTCAATATATGCAGTGAAGAGAATCGCGTTGCCTTAACCACATGGCCATTAGGCTAATATGTTGATTTTTTTTTTTTTTTTTTTTTATGAAAAGAGGCAGAGTGGTGTTTTATAACATATTTTGTTTTATTGTTGATGACAAGAGGCAGAGTTGTAGCATATTTCGTTTTATTGTTAGCTAAAATATATATAAAGAGATAACCGGAGTAGCCAGAGCGTGCTCAGTGACGCGATCAAGTACGCTCTGTTCCATTTGCAGAATAACCGGACTTGCGTCCTCTCGTCCTCGGGAGTTCGTTCTCCGGAGTCAAACTTGGCAAGTCCGAACTAACAAGGAAGCAAGTCCGAACTTTGCGTACTTGGTATTGAGAAACGGCTCTTGTTTCCTGTCTGCCATTATTGGCCAAATTGATTAATTCAGGTGTGTCTAATTATTGTTGCCGTGACTACTGAGGTCAGGCACACCTGCATTAATCAATTTGGCCAATAATGGCAGACAGGAAACAAGGAGCTGGCTTAAGTTCAGGAAGTAGTGCAGCTGTGCATAAAGCCCATTATGGGGTAGTTTGGCCAAAAATGTAAATTCTGTCTTCATTTACTCACTCTCTTGTCATTCCAACCTTGTATGTATTACTATTTTAAAATGAACTTTCCCTTTAAATATCAAGTTGTTTTTCACCAAAACAATAGTTGCACTTAAAAAATAATCAGCAAGCCATTTTTATTATTAGTGAGTCGTGATGTGCAGCCATTGTGTTAAATTCACCCAACCTATTAATTAAAATCTTCTCTTCTGTTTCTTTCAAACAAGAAAAACTTTGTCAAGAAGAAAGAAGGAGAAAATCCAAAGAATGAGCTGTTTCCATGCAAAAACATACTGTTTATCGTATTTAAATGTAAAACAGTATAGGAACAGTTTTCAAAATTTAACACAGTCATACAAATTTGTAATGGAACTGCTTCTGATCTTTCTTTCTCTCTGTCTTCCAGGACGCTCCAGCCCTTCTATCCTTTGCTACACATCTCTCAGTGTTCTGGTGTTCAGCTTTGGGCTCTCTGGGCCATACAATTCGTCTGCTCTCAGAACGGTAAGAAGAAATCCAGAGAGACTAATAAACACCAAGTTCATTGAGATACACAGCAAATCAAACAAAGAAACGGAGGAAAAACCTTTAAAAATTAAAATTAATTTTGTTTTATTTATTTTTTTTATACCAGCCAGTCCAACATGTTATGGATAGATTATGTGGTAATACATCTCCGAAACGGGACATAATTTAACCCAGATATTTTTTCACAAGACAGAACACATGTCATAAAGCCCATTACAAGTCTTAACTCATTTTTGACCAAATGTGTAGTTACTGCGCTTTGCCTTTGTAGGGCAGAATATAGACTGCTACTGATCTAACCACTGACTACACCAGCAACACGACATTTGAGAATGATCACGACACCGGTCATAATCCATCACAGCCCACACGCGCATCAGACCATACAAACTCAACATCCAGCCACGCAAGAAAACATTAAATATTACCGAGGTAATAAAATGCTGATGTGATTTGCTGCCCAAGAAACATTTCTGATTATTATTGATGTTTTCTTTTTAAAAAGTCAGGATTCCTTGATGAATAGAAGATTCAAAGTAGATTTATCCGAAATAAAAAAAAATCTTTGTAACATTATAAATGTCTGCGTTCACTTTTTGATTACTTTAATGCGTCCTTGCTGAATAAAAGTAGGCTATTAACGTTACTTTCTTTTTTTTTTTCAAATGTAGCGTATGTTACAAAAGCTTTTTATTTCAGATAAATGCTATTATTTTGAAGTATGATTGATTTGTGTAATGTGACTTTTTTGTGTGATCTTAAAATCCGATTTACAATTAAATTGTACGTAAATAGGTTAAGCAAAACAAATGTTTAAACTTTCGTGTTTAAAAAAAGAAAATGTTAAATGCATACTAACCTGAAATGACATATACTGTTTGACACAGTACAAATATTTTGAGTGTCTCTTATTTTCCTGTAAAGAACAACACTTGTCCCACATTTTTCTCGGAAGTTGATAACTATTAGCCACGATCAGTTGCAGCAATAAAATACATGTTCTTACAGGTATTCAATATTATTTTATTAATAATCTGGCATGCGATGAGCTTCAGAGCCTAATTACAGGGCATTGATTGAAGGTCAGAATTACACGAGCTCCGGATGGATTGGCCAGATACTGCATACCATCGCAGATGAGCTCATCACATTAAAAGGTGTCGTGAGGTTTTCACGGGCAGTGAACTCGTACCATAATGCGTCAGTAACAATAGAGAAAATTGTTAAAACAGCCAACCACACAACACGCTCTTCCGGCATAATAACTTCCACAAAATAACTAAATAAAAACATCTAACATCTGCTATAGCCGCCTACGAGAACAACGCTACTTCCGCAGCAGCAAGGCCCGCAGTAATGGCGGCGCTGCTTTACTTCCGCGTTTCGCCGGATTTGTGTATAGGAAATAAATGAATTAAATAAAAAAGACTGCTGTGCAAATGATTCCGTGTTTAGCAGAGAACAGCATGGTCATTCTGATTAACACACGCTAGCACACACAAATACACTTTCTGGTTGTTTATGTGCCCGCTAGGGTTGGTAGTAGCCCATGTGATGTGGTTGTATGATGTATGTATGCGTGTATGTTGTATGATTTTGGAATAGTGGACTGCCTATACACTATGAGAACCTTACTGAGCATGTCCTGAATAAATGTCATCTTACTTAGTGTTGATATTTTGAGCCACTTACTGAAATGCTGCTGTTGTAGCCCCTCAATACTGCAGTATGCTCCAGACGGAGGGAGGAACAGACCGACTGAGAGTCCTGAGCACCCATCCAGACACCCACAGTGATGTGAAGTGTCTGGTAGAAAACATCTTTAAGATCCTGGAGCGAAACCTTCATTCCGCCAGCCCAGGTTCAAAATGTACTACCATCTCTCTGCAATGAACATGTTCTGTTAATGTTGTCATTACTTGTGATTTAATCATTTTAGGAGTAACGCTTTAAATGTCTGTATTTTCAGAATTTAAAACACTCATGTTAATACAAATGAAAAGCACAAGCACTTATGGTGGTTGAAGATAAAATATATATATATATTTGTCTGCCTAAACTAAGTGTTTTTTTTTTTAATAGTTTGTTAATGAAGTGTTTAATTTACGAACTTGGGAAACACATATTGCTGCCCCAAACTCACACCATTGGTGGAGTCTTGCTGTTTATGTTGACCCGGATGCTCAAACAACCAGCATATGAAAAGCAAAACGTGTATTTGATACATAAGTTGTACTGTTAGTTTAAACTTCTTCAATTCTTTAAAATGCATGTTTCTGGATGAAAAACATACCATAATCCATGTATACACAGATACCTCATTACTGACCGTTTCTATGGGCCGCTGTAAGCCATCCCCCATGTTGGAATGGTCAAAGCTGGTTAGTGAGCACTTAAACAGTAATAGAAAAAATATATAAACACAAGAAAAATGATGCTGTTTCAAATTATTATGCAAGTGACATCAGGATTTAGGTAAAATAAACAATCAGATTTTAGTTTTCCAAAGAAAGTGTTGGTTTTATTTCTCATATTTTGTTTAGATAACTGGTATTAATCTCGGACAAGTTTGTTGAAAAGTTTTCCAGATCTTCTTGGATAAACCTACTTAAAAAGGTTGTTCCACATTATTAACCAAGTCACATTTCTCAGGCAATATAGGGCAGAAGAAAGATCTTTCTGAAGAAAAGTATTAAATAATGAAGTCATGCAATGCAAAAGGCATGAAAACTATGTTGCATGGAGATGATAAAACTCAAAAGATTTGTGAGTGATTTAGAGCACAGAAGAACTCTGACAGAATCTTTCTTAAGCCTTTATTTGACTAACAAATTAATTGTATAAAAAGTGGGCAGCTTTAAAAAATAAAGTGTCTCTGGAGACCCAAGAATCTCTATTTGCAGGCTGCAGTTGAACAAAGCATATCAGCCACCGCTAACCAAAGCTCACCAAGAGAAACATTTTTTGCTCAATCAGATCACACAAATTGGCTAGCAAAAAATTGTCACTTTCCCTTTTTGACTGGAAGGCTCTCCATGGTTTGAGGTTTCTTGGTTTTGGCAAGCTTCCAACATCACCAGGCAAGCGCTCATCTGGAATCCCCAAGGCCAAGGTGGGTGCACCGATAGAGTAAAGCCCAAGAGCTGTGTGGAGGGCTTGTGTTGGCGGCCTATGCCCCAGGAGGGGTAGCAGTAGTGATGTAGTACTCGAGTCCGGTCTCGAGACTGATTTCTGCTTTCTCGGACTCTACCCTTCAAAGACTCGGTCTTGACTCGGACTCGAACCACAGTGAGACTCTTCATTTTCAGACTGAGTCCTCGAGACTTTTTTTTTATTGTTCATAAATAAAAAAACACAACACATAACAACAATAATAGTAAAATGCAATGTTGACGAGCATTATTTGAAAATGCCATCCCAAGATGCAATGCAAAGATACTGCCGCCATCAGTGTCTTCAGTTGCTGCCTGGTGTGAGCGGCGGCAAGATGAGCAACGAGTCTGCCATCATCAAATGTGCCTTTCAGAACCACAAACCGCTGGTGACCATACACCTGCATTATATGACTGACAGACAAGAACGGTTTGACCTAAATGGTAAATGGACTGCATTTATATAGCGTTCATAGACCCAATGGCCACCAAAGCGCTTTACATTTGCCTCACATTCACCCATTCATACATTCATTCATACACCGACGGCGGTGTCAGCCATGCAAGGCGCCATCCAGCTCGTCGGGAGCAGCTGGGGTTAGGTCCTAAAAAAAGGACCTAAAAATCTCAAAATTGAAACTACTGCAGAAACAAAGACACCTTCATCTTGGATACCCTTGAGGTAAGCTAAAACATACCAAAAATTAATTTCAAAGTGAACTATCCCTTTAAGACGTCAAGACGACTGCTCTAAACAATTCCCAATCTAGCTTAGTCTGTAGGCCTAACTGTTGATTATTAACTGGGGTGATATTAAATCATGAATATCAAAACTGATATGTCAGGACAAAATCTTGACTCGGCTTGCTTCCTTGCTTCCTCAAAGACTCGGTCTTGACTCGGACTTGACTGAATTTAAAAACCAACGGACTCGGTCTCGACTTGGACTCGACCCTTCAAAGATTCATCTTGACTCGGACTCAACTGTATTTGAAAACCAACCGATTCGGTCTCGATTCGACCCTTCAAAGACTCTGTCTTGACTCGGACTCGACTGAATTTAAAAACCAACGGACTCGGTCTCGACTTGGACTCGACCCTTCAAAGACTCGGTCTTGACTCGGACTCGACTGAATTTAAAAACCAACGGACTCGGTCTCGACTTGGACTCGACCCTTCTAAGACTCGGTCTTGACTTGGACTCGACTGAATTTAAAAACCAACGGACTCGGTCTCGACTTGGACTCGACCCTTCAAAGACTCGGTCTTGACTCGGACTCGACTGAATTTAAAAACCAACGGACTCGGTCTCGACTTGGACTCGACCCTTCTAAGACTCGGTCTTGACTTGGACTCGACTGAATTTAAAAACCAACGGACTCGGTCTCGACTTGGACTCGACCCTTCTAAGACTCGGTCTTGACTTGGACTCGACTGAATTTAAAAACCAACGGACTCGGTCTCGACTTGGACTCGACCCTTCAAAGACTCGGTCTTGACTCAGACTCGACTGAATTTAAAAACCAACGGACTCGGTCTCGACTTGGACTCGACCCTTCAAAGACTCGGTCTTGACTTGGACTCGACTGAATTTAAAAACCAACGGACTCGGTCTCGACTTGGACTCGACCCTTCTAAGACTCGGTCTTGACTTGGACTCGACTGAATTTAAAAACCAACGGACTCGGTCTCGACTTGGACTCGACCCTTCAAAGACTCGGTCTTGACTCGGACTCGACTGAATTTAAAAACCAACGGACTCGGTCTCGACTTGGACTCGACCCTTCAAAGACTCGGTCTTGACTTGGACTCGACTGAATTTAAAAACCAACGGACTCGGTCTCGACTTGGACTCGACCCTTCTAAGACTCGGTCTTGACTTGGACTCGACTGAATTTAAAAACCAACGGACTCGGTCTCGACTTGGACTCGACCCTTCAAAGACTCGGTCTTGACTTGGACTCGACTGAATTTAAAAACCAACGGACTCGGTCTCGACTTGGACTCGACCCTTCAAAGACTCGGACTCCACTGAATTTAAAAACCAACGGACTCGGTCTCGACGTGGACTCGACCCTTCAAAGACTCGGTCTTGACTCAGACTCGACTGAATTTAAAAACCAACGGACTCGGTCTCGACTTGGACTCGACCCTTCAAAGACTCGGTCTTGACTCAGACTCGACTGAATTTAAAAACCAACGGACTCGGTCTCGACTTGGACTCGACCCTTCAAAGACTCGGTCTTGACTCGGACTCTACTGAATTTACAAACCAACGGACTCGGTCTCGACTTGGACTCGACCCTTCAAAGACTCGGTCTTGACTCGGACTCGACTGAATTTAAAAACCAACGGACTCGGTCTCGACTTGGACTCGACCCTTCAAAGACTCGGTCTTGACTCGGACTCTACTGAATTTAAAAACCAACGGACTCGGTCTCGACTTGGACTCGACCCTTCAAAGACTCGGTCTTGACTCGGACTCTACTGAATTTACAAACCAACGGACTCGGTCTCGACTTGGACTCGACCCTTCAAAGACTCGGTCTTGACTCGGACTCGACTGAATTTAAAAACCAACGGACTCGGTCTCGACTTGGACTCGACCCTTCAAAGACTCGGTCTTGACTTGGACTCGACTGAATTTATAAACCAACGGACTCGGTCTCGACTTGGACTCGACTCTTCTAAGACTCGGACTCGACTGAATTTAAAAACCAACGGACTCGGTCTCGACTTGGACTCGACCCTTCAAAGACTCGGTCTTGACTCAGACTCGACTGAATTTAAAAACCAACGGACTCGGTCTCGACTTGGACTCGACCCTTCAAAGACTCGGTCTTGACTCGGACTCGACTGAATTTAAAAACCAACGGACTCGGTCTCGACTTGGACTCGACCCTTCAAAGACTCGGTCTTGACTCGGACTCGACTGAATTTAAAAACCAACGGACTCGGTCTCGACTTGGACTCGACCCTTCAAAGACTCGGTCTTGACTTGGACTCGACTGAATTTAAAAACCAACGGACTCGGTCTCGACTTGGACTCGACCCTTCAAAGACTCGGACTTGACTTGGACTCGACTGAATTTAAAAACCAACGGACTCGGTCTCGACTTGGACTCGACCCTTCAAAGACTCGGTCTTGACTTGGACTCGACTGAATTTAAAAACCAACGGACTCGGTCTCGACTTGGACTCGACCCTTCAAAGACTCGGACTTGACTTGGACTCGACTGAATTTAAAAACCAACGGACTCGGTCTCGACTTGGACTCGACCCTTCAAAGACTCGGACTCCACTGAATTTAAAAACCAACGGACTCGGTCTCGACGTGGACTCGACCCTTCAAAGACTCGGTCTTGACTCAGACTCGACTGAATTTAAAAACCAACGGACTCGGTCTCGACTTGGACTCGACCCTTCAAAGACTCGGTCTTGACTTGGACTCGACTGAATTTAAAAACCAACGGACTCGGTCTCGACTTGGACTCGACCCTTCAAAGACTCGGTCTTGACTCGGACTCGACTGAATTTAAAAACCAACGGACTCGGTCTCGACTTGGACTCGACCCTTCAAAGACTCGGTCTTGACTCAGACTCGACTGAATTTAAAAACCAACGGACTCGGTCTCGACTTGGACTCGACCCTTCAAAGACTCAGTCTTGACTCGGACTCGACTGAATTTAAAAACCAACGGACTCGGTCTCGACTTGGACTCGACCCTTCAAAGACTCGGTCTTGACTTGGACTCGACTGAATTTAAAAACCAACGGACTCGGTCTCGACTTGGACTCGACCCTTCTAAGACTCGGACTCGACTGAATTTAAAAACCAACGGACTCGATCTTGGACTCGACCCTTCAAATACTCGGACTCGACTTAATTTAAAAACCAACGGACTCGATCTTGGACTCGACCCTTCAAATACTCGGACTCGACTTAATTTAAAAACCAGTCTTGGTCTTGGTCTCGACTCGGACTCGAGTCGGGAAAGCTCGCTTTTGACACGAGTCACGTTAAACTGTTTTTGGGAACTCCCAAAACAAAAATAGGAACATTTCAAATGCTATGATAGGGGCTCTTTAAAAAGAATGAATAAAGTTAGAATATTGTTTTAATCAACACAATCAATGTGGAAAGTGTCATTAATAAAACATTTTGAGCAAAACTCTTAAGAAAATCACATTTTTGTTTAACACTTTGGATCAGATTCAGAATGATAAGTTTATTGAGTTCATCAAA